AGTTTTAATTGTGAATAATATTAATTTTTTATATTTCTCAAAAACCTTATTAAAATTGCATTTATCGAGGAATTAGAAAGATTTATATAACAGTTTATTTTCTAGACCACATGTCTTACAGGATTTACAATGTCTACAATTTATGTGTTATAAAACATTTTATGATTTCAGTCATATAATACAATTAAGTATAATACAATTAATTAAGTATAATACAATTAATATTTTATTATAAATATTAATTTATAATAAGTATTTATGCGTTTCAATAAACATCACACGAGATTCGATATGCCAATTACGCTCGATATAACTCATTTTTTCGAGATAAAGATTTCTCAAAACTTGTCGCAAAGTCTACCTACGTCGCGTCATTAGCAGCCACAACAATTTTCGGTCGATCTGTCCGCGCTTTCAGTTCATTCCTCTCTCAACACTCCCCGTTCAACTCTCTTGGTCACGATGCCTCGCTCCATCGACTCGTTAATCGGCGAAAAAAGCGCGGGGATGGCGAGAGTGGCACGGACGGAAGAAAAAGAGTGTCCGAAAAAGGTGTCTTAGGCCGGGACATCAAAAGCTCTTCCACGGGGGTGACCCGCTGCGGGGTGATCCACCCCTGTCCGCAAAGTCCACCCCTCTTTCCCTCCCGCGTCCCTCTTGATGCTCCCTCTCTGCTTTTTCCTCTCGCCCCTCGACCCTCTGCCGACTCCCTTACCCGGGCTGCCTCGCGAAAACCCGCCGCCTTTCGTTAAAGGTGACCCGACGAAATCGCCGGCGAGTTACACGTGCGTGCAAAAGGGTTGATCGGGGATGGTCAGAGGGAAGAGAGAGAGAGAGAGGGGGGCGGTAAGGGGTGTACTGGTGGGTGGTGATGGTCGACCGGGAACCACGAGGCAGACGAGGCGCGCTTGCACGCACTTCGTACTATATACCGCGAATATTGCCGAAAATCCCCTAAAGGGAAGTACGCGAAACAAAGACTCGTTTCTCCCTCGTCCCTCATTCTATTCACCCTTCATCTCTCTCATATCTCTTCCTTCCTCCTCCCTCCTTACGCGCATCCAGCGTATCTTTGTCTCTTTCATCCCCACTTTTTATTTATTAAATTTGCAAACGTATGCTTGTATTTTTTACAACTAAATTAATTCATTCTTACAACTAGAAATGAAACATTGTAACACATAAAATGTAATTCTTCCATTTAATGCGAGATATATTTAATATTTGATAGAAGAACATTTGGCGCTGCTAAAATGAATAACATGTTAATTACTTGTATTATAATATTAACTAATCTTTTGTGTTATTTATTACTGCAATCGCGAATATTATGTAACCCACACATACTGTTAATAAAACTTGCTTTTTATTATATTTTACTTTGTTGGCGTCGTCATAAAAACAGTGCATTTTAAACAACTCAAATTGCGACAATAGATGTGCAAAATTATTCACGGGAATCATCGCGCTTTGTCTTGACAAAATATCTCATCTATTTTACTTTATTTGTTGAGAAAATAGCGCATCTTTCTCTCTCGGACCACTCTAAGTAAAGACGTCCCATTATCCTTTCACTTCTTAATTTGAACAGGACCTTCTATCGCATTATTGGCGATGTAAAGAAAATGACGGGCCTCGAACCGCTCGAGTTGCAATACTCCACTGTCCATTCGGAAGAATCGTCGTTTTATCTAAACAGCGCCTCCTTCTTTCCCACTATTGACATTGTGAAGAAATCGTCGCGACGCGCCTTGGGCCACTCCAGTTGTAGCGCCCCACCTTATGTGCAGTATCCTTTCGCGTGAACCGTCGCTTGATCTAAACCTTTTTCCAACTGCACTATTATGCCCGATTCCATCAACATGGATTAACTTTAATCTCGGTTCAACTTACTCTTCACCTTTTTCTAATTCTTAAAACTAGAAAAAGATGAAGAGTAAGTTGAACCGAGATTAAAGTTAATCTACATTGGTGGAAATGGGCATTAGTGAGTCAACAAAATGACGCCCCCAGACCACTCCGGTTGCAGTACCCCACCTTTCGTGCAGTATTCTTTCGCGTCATTTCATGTCAACAAGACCTTTTTCCGAGACCATACTATTAGTGCGTGAACAAAATGACAATCACTTCAATTGCAGTATTCCACCTTTCGCGCGATTTTTATGAAATTTTGCAATTTTAAATAACTTGAAAAGCGTTACAGCACTATGAAAGGAGCTCTATTAAGAACGTGATCGCATTACAAAAATATGAAGAAATAGAAAATTGTCAAATAGTAGTCAAATATGGTGTAAATTATTTGACAATTAGTGATAAATCGAATCACATTTGTATTTGAGAAATAACATGTAAAATTATTATTTATTTTGAAAAAATACTTTACGTATAATTTAATTATTAGTATTTATCATGTTGAAACACAATTATATTAGTTAAGAATTATTTAATAATTCTTAACTTTATTTGTGTGTGATTAGTATAAGAAAATATTATTTTCAAGATTCATCAGATCTTTTCATGTCTTACAGAGTTAAAGTACTTGTAAGATTCTTATTAATTTATACATATATTTAATCGTGAATAATATGAAAAAAAAAACTGTTTGAATTCTGCACAAGTCCTGTTATTGCTGTTTAATGTCCGCGATATCGTATGTTTTTTTACGTGAATTAAATTCGATATTGCACATTATTGGCCATCAATTTGTCAGTTAAATAAATTCACGATATTGTAGTTGTTCTGCTCGATTGTCGTTATAATACGAATTATCATAAATACAACATGATTTCTCGTTGCATATGAGTGCATCGATCGAAGATGCATCTTGCGTGTATACCGCGCATTTCGCTTTCAGCGAGTTATTTTTGCACGGAAAGCTCGATACGCATCCGTTTGATATAATTCGAGAAGATAGCGGAGAGTACTGCGTTATATAAATCACATCGAAAATGTGTTGCTTTCTTTTTAATTAATTATAGGAAAAAAATATATTTGAATACTTTTTACAAAATAATATTAGTAAATTAATATGCATTTATTTTTAATTGACATAATTCAATTATAATTAAATTCATTTTTTATAGAGAAAATGCGCGAAAGCGCGTTTTAAAACAGCAGTATCTATTATTATCTACGAAATTTGAAGTCTGGGCTGATGTTTTCGAGATGACTGATTCTATTTCCGGTCGCAATATTTCTGTATCGTATATGAAATCTGAATTACGCAGAATCGATCAATTGTCTTATCTTGCGAGAGCTTCTCTCTTATGTCAGATGAGAATAAGATTCTGACGAGTCGTTCACTGCGTCTTCTTCAAGGTTGCTGAAAAGCTCCGCTGCGGCACCGTGCGATGAGTAGGTCGGCTTGCTAAAAAATCGATACGTACGAAAGTGAGAGTCGTTCCCTCGGTCGTTCCACCCTCCTTTTTGTTCTTCACGCTCCACGTTCTCTTCTTACTTGCCGTTTGGTTCATTCATGTCGTCGTGGTGCGGCCGCGCCGATGCACCTAGATGCGCAACGCGCGCAAGCACGCTGCCGTTCGCAATTCACGCTCGTGCAGTCTCGAACAAAGTACGCAACACCGACCAAAATAAAATTTGAAACGCGCATTAACCTTCCACGACTTGAAGCGAATCTCGTGCAAAAATAGCATTATCGATGTATACTTTAAGGAGCTTAGAAAACTTTTGTTACAATCATTGTTTTTCGTCAGCATTTTGATAATTTCTAAATAATTCTGTTTCATTTTCTTTATTATCATTTCCTACGTATAACATAGTAAAAGATTGCAATTTTCAATCGATTTTTGTCAATCTCTCACCGAGTTTATAATATTGATTCATATTTTTCTGCGTCACTCTGTGTACTCTGAATATTTGTTGATTAGAATTACAAGACAAAATACTTTCGTCGAGAAAAACAGATGTAAAATTCTCTTTTCTTTATCATAATGTCTTTGTTGATTAATATTTGGACATTAATATTTGACTGTTTTCGATCTTTAACATTTTGCTAGTCTGTTCTAAATAGTGATATTTTATACACACATTCTAATTTATTTCCAAAACTTTTAAGTACAAAATAAAAATGTAGCATATTTTTAAATTTAAATAATATTTTCTCAAGCATATATCTAATTGTAGCACAACCATGTTACAGTTTTTATTATCTAAAAATGAATGAAAAATATTTTCAAAAATGCGTAAATAAATAATTTCTGAAAGAAATACTCTATATAGTGTTCATCGCAAAATTTTATTGCATATTTTTTCTCAGTTGCTGCTTCGAAATTCTAATATAATAATCTTTGTACATAAAAACAGTTAATTAATTTGATAATTTTAATCAAAGATATCAATTGTTACATATAAGATTTTCTTTTAATATCATCTATTATGTATGGTATAATGTATGAGTAACACGCGTCGATGAGTATATTTCGTCAAGTTGTCTGGCAATAACATCATCTAATGTAAACAGCCAACGGCTCCGTGCTAGGTCAAGTTGGCTTTCAAAGTTTATTAGTGATTGCTGCGTGCCGAATCTCTCGACGTACCTCGGTACCGTGTAATTCTGTCAATCGGAGAATCGCGCTCGAGTCGTCCACTTACATGGCAGCTCTCTTCCTTCGCTTACAATCTTTGCTCTGTTCGGATCTCAAAATGGGATACATAGATGGGATACACGTGGTCGAAGTCGAGTAATAATCAATTTTTTATTATATTTTTTTTGCAAAGCTACATATATCGCGGATCTAGATGTTAAATATAAAATTTTAAAATTTAATTTGTACAAACTACTTACGTTAAAACTCTTTATATTACTTAAACATTAGATAAGATTCATAAAAATATCACTTTATTACCTATTGATTTATTAATTAAGAACATAAATGTTATATATCGTGTTAGGTGAATTATCTTTTATTAGCTTGTAATGTTTCTCTCGCTTGCTTGCAGCTAAAATCTAATCTCAGATGTTATTTCTCTATTTCCAGCAGCAGCGGCGCCGCTAAGGTTTTAATAAGCAACCTGCCTGTTCCGTTTCATTCAGAGGATCTCGAACTGCTGTTAGCGAACTACGGCCAGGTGCAGAACATCGAAAAGTTGTCGTCGCGAGAGTTAAACACGCAGACCCTACTCATCAGCTATGAGACGACGGAACAAGCACAGCAGTGAGTATTGACGGCTCTCTTTCTGCTTTTTTTAAGAGAAGTTTAATTATTCGTCACGATGCAATATAATTAATATATATTGGCCGCGAGCCAGCATCTTTTAGCCTTCGTGAAAAATCGCAAACGTTTGCCATCGTATTTACATCGGGATTTGCGTTAGAATTTGTGCGGTTTTCAATGTCACGCTTGCGTGTGAAACTAAAATGTCCGGTCATTTTGAAGTCTTCCGTATAGTATTTATTTATTTATTCTAATTGTAATCTTATTTATCGATTCTTCGGGAAAATCAACAATCTCGCTAATCTTGCGATTTGTAGGGCTGTGAACCAGTTGAATGGCTACGAATACGACGGCAATCCACTGAAAGTGGAGATGTCCTCAGCGGAGAGCCGGCGAAGGGGCCGCAGCCAGCGCAGTAGCGGTGTCGCCTTCTCCGGGCTGTCGGGTTCTGGTCGGCAGACGGACTTCCCGCTGCGTATCCTCGTACAGTCGGACATGGTAGGAGCGATAATCGGCCGCCAGGGTTCAACTATACGCACGATTACGCAGCAAACGCGCGCCCGAGTCGATGTACACCGCAAGGATAATGTCGGGTCGTTGGAGAAGGCGATCACCATCTACGGTAATCCCGAGAACTGCACTAACGCGTGCAAGAAGATCCTGGAGGTCATGCAACAAGAAGCAAACAACACGAACAAGGGGTATGTGTGACGCAATTCAAGCTGTATCGAGTTTTTCGACGTGAAGTCGTCGAATGATAGTGAGATCAAACGAACGATATCAATTAATTTTTCAGATAGTCGATATTTTTTCGTGATTAAATACTCTACGTGTTTTTTTTTATTATTACAATTTATATCATAATAATAATAAGCAATCATAGGTTTATTCATACCGTTTAATCGAATTTTTATTGTCAATTGTAACTTTATATTATTATTTATTATTATTATATAATCAAATCGCAATTATATTATCTTGCCGACAGGGAGATCACTCTGAAGATACTCGCACACAATAATCTTATTGGTAGAATTATCGGAAAGGGCGGCAACACAATTAAGAGAATCATGCAGGACACCGACACAAAAATCACTGTTAGTAGTATCAATGACATTAACAGTTTTAACCTCGAACGCATCATCACAGTTAAGGGTTCAATCGATAACATGAGCAAGGCCGAGTCCATGATCTCCAGCAAACTGCGTCAAAGCTACGAAAATGATCTTCAAGCTATGGCTGTAAGTTTTATCGCATTCTTTCTTATGTATAATTTTTTGGAATTTTTTATTAATTTTTACAAGAATATGTAAGAGTGTAAAAATATATGTTTATCGAGAATTGATGAAATCTTAAGAAATTAATTAAAAATATAAACAGAATATTTAATGTAAAAAGTTCGCAAATTTTTAATATGACGAACCTTTCGTTAAATTTTCACTTGAAAAGATATGATATGGATTTTGTTTGATAGCGTCTTGCTTAGAACGAAATAAGTCGCGTAGGTACACTATTGCGCAACGCGACGAAGCTTCTAATCGATGCGATCGTTATTCTCGCCAGCCTCAAAGCATGATGTTCCCTGGTCTGCACCCGATGGCCATGATGTCCACCGCCGGTATGAGCTATAGTTCTCGCGGATCCGGCCTCTACGGATCAGGACCCGCCCCGTATCCCTTCCAGGGCAATCTGCCACCCCAGCAGGGCATCGCTGCCAGCGACACCCAAGAGACGACCTTCCTTTACATTCCCAACAACAGCGTCGGCGCCATCATTGGCACCAAGGGCTCGCACATTCGCAACATTATCAGGTTCTCTGGCGCGAGCGTAAAGATCGCTCCTCTCGAACAAGACAAACCAGCCGAGCAGCAAACCGAGAGAAAAGTCACCATCGTCGGCTCGCCGGAATCTCAATGGAAGGTGAGTGTGATCGTAATTATTTCACAGTTCCTTGATCCTTATGAGCGAAATGATTTTTACCTCACTTTATGATTTATTTGGTTGTATTGTAACCTGCTGTATTTTGGGTGGATGCTGTCTCTTAATCATCAACTTGAATCAGCAGGAATATTAAAGAAAGGGCCCCGTACCGATCTCAGTGAACCAAGCGTGTGAAGATCGGCCCCGTTTGACCCTTCAACATTTTTGTCTTTCATTTTACATTAATTTCTTTCCATCCGCTGATTTTGAGATAAATAGAAATATAATTGTGCACTCTTTCGCTTTATGTAACATTGAAAATTGCAATTTCAGGCCCAATATTTGATCTTCGAAAAGATGCGAGAGGAGGGATACGTCGCTGGTACCGAGGACGTTAGACTGACCATCGAGATTCTCGTGCCCAGTACTCAAGTTGGCCGAATCATCGGCAAAGGCGGCCAAAACGTCAGGGAGTTGCAACGCGTGACCGGCAGCGTTATTAAACTGTCGGAACAGCAAGCTACTCCTCCTTCTGCCGAGGAAGAAACCACCGTCCATATTATCGGCCCCTTCTTCTCCGTTCAGGTAATTCAGGAAGCTAATTTCTCATATAACTTTCATACATTTCGTAAATATGAGTGTATACGTTTTGTAAAGACAAGCTGACAATGACAAGCGATAACGAGCAATTTTTGTTTGTAGTCGGCACAGAGAAGAATTCGCGCCATGGTACTGCAATCGGCCGCTCCCGGTGGGACCGGCGGTGCTGGCTCACGCGCCGGTCGCGGTAGCAGCCAGGAAGGCACCTCCCGTTCCAAGCGAGATGGCAGTGCCACCTCCCAAAGCGGCACGACGTCGCAGTCTGGCTCTCAACAGCAATCGAGCGGCTCGCCATCCAGCCAACAGCAACCACCGCAGCAGCCACAGTCGCCGCAAAATCAGTAACGAAGATATTCACCTGACGCGGACCGAAGCCACGAACGCCTATCCGTTTTACTCGCCGGAGTGGCCTCGTCGTCGCTTTGACATTCTCTCTCGTCGAGAGGCCGAGCTTATCGCAACCACCTCCTCCTTTCGCGGGGCGCGCGCTACCCTTCCCGGCGGGGGAGGGCCTCCGAACGAGAATGCGCGACGCGCGGATCGCGACGGGAAGACGAGCGCTGATAACGTTCTAGGAGTTGACTCGACGTCATCCAAGATCCGATAACGAGTCTTTGCGGACTCGCCGGCTCTACGAGCTGACTCTTTTGAGCTTCTAGCCAGATTCCAGTAACGATTTGGGAGTTTCAATTCGACGAGTCAATCGACGTTTCAAGAGTTAATTCGTAGCTTTCGGCGAATCCGGCATTCGGAGGAGTTAATTTTGAGAGTTTGAACGAGGATTTTAATTCCAAAGGATCCGAGACTCAATGGCAAGAGTCAATCTGAGGAGTCAACGAAGCCGGGCGACTCTGTTCGGTTCGATATATCGCGATCGACCATGTAATCACGAGCGAATAATATTATTTTTCATGTGAACGTCCCGTCGCTAGCGGGAGCGGATAAGTATTGTCTTATCGCGAGATTATTTGTATTGGCGGTCGTGATTCTCAAATCACGACTCCGGCACAAGATGCGAAACAGAATAGGAAAGATCAAGAAGTGAAGCGTATTCGTTACGACCGAACGGAGAATCGCCAGGCGTACTATCTGACCTGGCCTTGTTCAGGTAGACACTGCCGGTAGACACAATCGCTCTCGTTGACGAGAATCGTTTTCCCCTTCGCTCTGCGCGTCGCGTCTGCACCCTGCGCGCAAACTCGTTCGTACCCACCCCGCGATAGCGACGAAGCGACACGCACAGCCGCGCACGACCCAATTTCGCAGCGCTAACGAAACCACCGCCGCCGATGAAATAGGATACGACGACGAGAACAAACTGATTAAAAAAAAAAAAATAGAAAAGAAGAAAAACATTACACAACCTTATTACCTCATTGCATTACGGTTAAAGATTTAATACGATAGAGGAAAGTGAAACCACGCGCGGGAGAAACCGATTAATATCTAAAAAAAAGAAATCTATCTAATATTAAAGTTATTAATAGTATACAAAGAGGTTAAGTGACAATTACATATTACGTTATACCTGTTAACTACCTACTACTACTGCAACTATTACTATTATTACTACCTACCTACTACTACTATTATTGCTATACGCTATTTACTTACTTCATACTAGTACTACAGGAGGAAAGCGGTTTTTCTTAAAAAAAAAACAAAAAAAGAATATGAAACTGAAACGCAAGCTAGGTACAGTTTTTTATATCACAATCCAGAGACACACTGAATACACATAATACGGGACTTAAATGATATCGAGACCGTGCGCCGCGGAACGGCACATCCGTTCGCGGTCGTAGGCGTAAGCTAGAATGTCTCAAGGAGGAGAAGAAAAAAAAAACGACCAACCCGCGGCCCCAACCCGCCCCTCCTCGCACCACGTAATACCAAAGAAGAAACGATTACGAGCTTTCGTATTAGTGAAGTGAAATGTGTCGTGTACGCTCTATTCGCCTCAAGTTTGTTACTATTTTCAAATTTTCTTATTTTTCTTCTTGCAGTTTTTTTTACCAAAAGCTACGAGAATAAGAGAAAGAGAGAGATAGAGAAGAGTCAGATATTTATTTTATCTTATTTTTTTTCTCTTTTTCTCGTATTCAACCAGTTTTGTGCCAAATGACTCTATGTCTCGTCGGCGCTGTCCTCGATGTCACGATGACAACTTGTCGATTTTCCCTTCCACAATTCAAATATTCACGGAAATGTGAGAGAGGAGGTTGATAAATTATCAGCACGATGTCGAGGGCAACAGGAAATGTGAGATCGCGATTGATGACGCTGAAGAAGAAGAAAAAGGAAGTGTAAATAAATATATGATTCTTCTCTGGTTCCTTCTCACGCTCTAGTTCTTGGTGAGAAGTTTAAAGATAAGAAAATTGTTCGCGTTGCATATCAGTCCGGTAACTACATGCTCGGACTAATTGTCTCTTATCTCTAACTTTTCTTATTTTCGTAAAAAAATTGAAAAGAGGGAATTGAAAGGGAAGAGACAATTATTTTGAGCGTGTATTATTGGATCGGTACATGGCACGGATGTTATTTTCAGCCACGTTTCTCCTTTCTCAAAGAACATTGAGAAAGGACGTTTCGAACACACGGAGAGAATGAGAAAGCGACTGTCGGTACGCGCGAGGAATAGCAAAAGAGGTAGAGAAGGAAAAAGAAAAGGAGAGAGGGAGAGGGAGAGAGAAAGAGAGAGAGAGAGAGAGAGAGAGAGAGAGAAAAAGCGACAAAGCGAAGGAGGGGGGACGTAAGGGAGACAAAAAGTGAACCGACAAAACTTTCAGGGATTTTTACTTTTACCAAGAATAATAGTGTGTGAGTGTGCGTGTGTTGATAATTATTAATTGATAAGTAATTGATTACTTATGTTATAAGTAGTCAATTATTATAAGTAATTATATAATAAGTAACTGATTCTTTCGCGTTTTATTTCTTCCTTACTTCTTCAACGTTGCTCGTTTCCTTTGAAATCAAAATCATTTCGAGAGAAATGAGCGACGATGGAGGAATGAGAGAAGAACAGGCGAGAGTAGAGAGGCTGGAAAGCGTAGTTTGTTCGCGGCCAGCTGCTCATCGCAGAAGGTTGCGTCGCCGAGACGAGAGTCGAGACTGAGCTTTTACTGAGGTGCGTTCCGTCGAAACTAGGCGAGCCCTCCTGTAAACTTTGCAAATTACAGTTAACGTGGATTCAGGATCGGAAAGTGTGAAAATAGCGTGGCTCGATTTTGCGACCATTAGTCTCGACCTCGCGATCGGTATCGCGACTCGCGGCGCGCATAATCGGCCATTACTATCCCGCTGTGCAGAGCCAAAAGATTCCTTTCGAGATCGAGAATAATCCAGATATATTCGTAGCGATCCGAAGAACAAAAGAGCAACAGTGACGTTGTTCTCCAACAGTGACATCACGCCTCGAAGAGGCAATCCTGATGTCTGGCGGTATATTCGTGACCGAATACATCGCGTCGCAATTTCTGCGTCGAGTTTCGAGGAGATTTCGAAGTGACGCCACGCAACCGCGCGGCCGAGACGCTTCCAGAACGGGATGGGGGAAAAAGAAAAAAAGAGATTCAGGCGACCGATCGCGTGGCAGGGAGATCAGGCGAAAGCGAGATGGGGAACGCGATAAATCAGATTGGACTCAGAATCGTGAAAAAGAAACAGAGAGTCGCCCAAGCGCGGCTATTAAGCGTGACCATGAAAATTCAACAAACACAAACGGACTTACTAATCACGACGCGCGGTCTCGCGCCAATTCGGCTTCGATCGATCGATCGAGAGGAATGAGTCGCTGGACAGTGTATTCAAGTAGTTTGATGACGTTGATTGCTTATTGATTCGAGCAACGAACGGCAAAAGGGAATAATCTAGCGTCCATTCTTTCAATACGTGTTTGTCTAAATCATCGAACGGACATTGTTTTCTCTTGCTACTTGTTACTCGAATCGACAAGTAGTTTTCACCAAGCTGCTGGAATTTCATTGTCCAGCAACGCATTCTTTGCGTTCGATCGGCCTCATCGGCGCGAAACTGCGACGACGCCGGCACGTGGAAACCTCAAGCACGAGGTGCGACCCACGTCTGGCGACACGACGGGCCACTTCTATGAGGCCCACCATTTTACACTCTCGGCGTTCGGTAAGCGTTTAGTACAAAGATACACGAGTTTAAGGATGAATAAGGCTAATGGAGTTTTTAAGAGAGACTTAGGGACGGAGATGAAAAAAAGGTGATATGATATCATGTTTGATCATTTTTTTTTTTTTTTTTTTTTTTTTTTTTATTTCGGGGAAGGCTGAGGACGGAGTTTCCGGAGTGTGCGCGCGCAGAGCATTATCTCGCGGGTGTTAATCAATAAGATCGGAGCTTTTTTCCTGCAGCGAAAAGCGAAGGCGTACCGTCTCACCGTATCTTTGATTCTAAATACGATCGTCTAAATTTATTTAATTACATCGTCGTCGATTGACTTTGATAGCAATCTCAATTGATTTTTTTTTTTTCCTTAGTATTGAGAACCATTTCTATTAACATTAGCTGGCATTAACTGTATTTCAACGGATTCTCCCTTCTTTTTCCAGAAACATAAAAAGAAAGAATTAAACTTTTAAACGACTCTGATTTGTGTTATAAAAATTAGAACGCAATTTTCAAACCTGCAGCTTGGAAAAAATGAGAATTAATGATATTGAGATTAAAGTTGGCCGACATTTGTGATATTTTTAGTTCTAAGAACAAAGCTTATCAGTCCAAATGTAACGTGAGGATCAGATAAGCATAGATTTAGCGTCGAATATGCGGCGAGTACGCGAGTCTTCCTTCTTTCTGCTGTATCGCGCGAGGCGCGAGAAAGATTCGCTTGTAGTCTCCTCAACAATGTGTTAAAAGTGAACGTGTTTAAAGGAAAAGAAAGGCCTGAAAACGTAGGTCTATTTTTGATACATTTGTTGCGAGGACTTGAAACGAATCTTTCTTTTTTCAATATTTTTTTGTTAGATGTTTTTAATAACTTAATGAATTTTAAGGGTGTGAGAAAATAGAGAGAGATTTTTTTTAAATATAAGATAAGGGAGAAAGAAGAGGAGAGGCGAAACGGAGTGATTCTCGCGGGAGAACGGATTAAATTAACGTTATAGAGGGACGAATCAGGACGAGGCGCGCAGCTTTTTGCGCTGTGCTCGCTCGCTTTTTGGGTGGGGTGGGAGGGAGGGGGGAGGGGGGATTGTGACGATATTTTTTAGTCGGGTATAAATTTGTATAATATATTTAATAATATATTTCGAGGAAAAGCGATGATCGCGGATCCGCTCGGCAAGGCCGTCGGCGTGATGGAACTCGGTAGTGGAACCTCGCAGTTTTATGCGAGAGACTCCTCGGGTCGTCGTACTTTGTAAAGGAGTACCCTCGCCCGCGGATCCGCGCCTCGCGGTTATTTATCAAGCGTAAATATTTAAATGATGAGAGATAAAGAGGTAGTGAGAGGGAGAGAGAGAGAGAGAGAGATTTGTATCAGAGCTTGTAAAGAAAAAAAAATTGCGATATGGGAGGAAGTGCCAAGGGACAAGAGAAATAAGTTCGCACAACAAATGCAAAATATTAGTAAAATAGATTGTAAAATAAATCGGGACAAAATAGGACAGAGGCAGAGAAATAGAAAGCAACAAAAAACGCAGAAACAGGCAAGAAAACAGAAGAGCAGAAAGGCAATAGCAAGCAGCAAACGGCAAAAGGAAATAGCAAAAAGGGAAAAGAAAGAAAAAACAGAAAAAGAATCTTCGTTTACTCTCATGATCGACGAATCACTTTACGCTACTTCGAGATCATGTTTGATATCTTTTTGGCCCGCACTTCAAAATTTCGAGTCGATGAGGAGAGAACACAACGTCCAGACAACGTACACGAGGAAAGAAGCACAACGCAAAGCGAGACACGCGAATCGCCCCTATTACAGAGACTCGTCGACGTCGGGGAGAGGGCACCGTGGGGTGCGCGGGTGTGCACGCGGTGACCTCGTCGAACCGACTTTTCACGGGTACCATCGCCCATCCGCCCTCTTTCGGAGTATCTCTTTCTAAATTAACAAATAAAACTTCAGTTTCGCGGGGAAAATGCGAAAATTCGTTACTCAATCGAAGACGAAATCTATTTTTGAGAACGTTATGTTACATTTGTATTAGCATTTACATATAGAAAAAAAAAATTTGAAACGCGTAAGATATAAATAGTAATGTTTGAAAAATAATTCTTTGGAAAGAATTTGATTTTGCAGTGAAGTATTTTTTTTTTTCTTTATGATATTGAGCGGATTCGGGAAAAGCATTGTATTTACGAATGTACATAAATTTAAAATTTCGCGAGAAAGTTACTCGCCGCGTTTCTCCCGCGGACAAACCGATGTGCCTTTGCACATGAAAACTCACACCTTCACTTGCTTATCGGGTTTTTCAGTTTTGGGATATTTTTATTACGACGAATTTTTGGATCAGACAAAAATCAAGATAAAAATAAAAAAAAAAAAATGATAAAAGCTATATATTTTCGATTCGAGAAATAATAAATACGCAGCCTCTTTGATTAGAAAACGGAATAAGGGAACATTGTTCGGCCGATTCCTCAGCAAACAAAAAAAAAAAAAGCAGAAGAAAGAACGCTAAGAAAAAAAAGAAAGACAAAGGGAGAGTGAGAGAGAAAGAGAGGGAGAGAGAGAGAGAGACAACCCGCTCGCACGCTCGAGAGAAAGAAAATGAATGTACAAATCAAATAAAGTATAACAAACGATGATTGAATAGATGAAATTATTAATATAATAATGATAACTTAATGAAGAAAGAAAAAAAGATTTTTAACGTTATAAATTATTGCGCGCGCCCGCGAGGCGCGCGAATTTAGAGGCGCGAGGAGTATAACTTAATCTACTGGTAGGGATATCGACAAACAAATGTACAAAATCGATTTATCGCTAAATGTTAGTATTCTAGAGTATTTTACCGTCGATACGATCGCGTAAAAGTGAAGATTATACTAAGCTTGGCTAAGATTGTACATACCAGGCAGATTAAGGTAAAATATTCGTTTCCTCATTTTTACATCGATTGATCGATAGAAAATAAACGAACCCTTTCACATTTACGCTGAAATTTCCTATATTCGTTTATTTCCTGCCGATCAATCGATATGAAAATTAGAGAACGCTTCAGCTATCACACAAGCCTCGGAAGATAATAAGCATTTCATTTTTCTTTGTACGAACGTCCAGCATCGTCAACGTGTCTCCAATGACTCTCGCACACACAGTTTTACCGACTTATCGCTCGTATGCTTCGTACCCGCAGTTTTGCAATCGGGAACGAAATCGAGAAATCGTCGACTGTAATCAGTTAACTCGAGTTCTTTGAACAAAGTGAGATCCGTGCCGTTCATCGTTCGCGCGGATCTTGTCTTGTTTAAAGAATCGCGTAGCTGTTACGCGTTAGACGCTTTCTTTTTTTACACCTGTAAGAGCAAACGGAGAAAGAAAAGACAACGTTTAACGCGTAACAATTGCGCGATTCGCGGTATATCGGACTTTTCACAAAAAGGTACACACAGACGGAAGAGAGACAGAAAGTCGAACAAACGAGATGCTAATATATATATATATATATATATTGATATATATAAAGAAACGTTTCGTTTATCCGATTCTCTGCCTCTCTTTCTACGTTTCTCTTTTGTCTGTGCGCACTTTGTATATTCCGGCATGCAGCAATGTAATCCGGACGATCGTTTATCGATCCCGCATCACCGCGATCACAATCGCGAGCAAACGAAAGACAATTCGCGTCCAGGGTCGCGTGACCGCTACCCGTTCGGAACTCAAACAGGTTGCAGGATACCTTGTCTTAATTGATAATAGCAGTTAATGAATAATAAATAGCG